TTGCCATCCTTGAATGTTGAAGGATGGGCGTCCGCTGTGATGGCACAGTGAAACCATAGGACCGTGTCCTTGGTGGGGTTCGGGGAGGCCGAGCACCAGCCCCCAACATAGGCTTCACCAGTCCTTGATGCACTGGCGTCGCTGCATCCCCACCAAGGAGACTTCGGCAAGAAGGGTGAGTATTGTTCGAAGGGATGCGTGAAGAGCTCCTTCAGGACAGAAGCCAGCATACGGACCACCTTGGGTGGGTGGCCCATGGTCCTGACCGCCATCTTCCAAGCCCAGCGTGGCTGGAGCATGGACTTGGTCAGGGGGCAGCACGCTGTTGCCCATTGGATCCGCCCCATTGCCTTCTCAATGGCTTTTGCTGACATAGGGGATCCGTTGGCAAGTTCCTCCAGGAGCTCCATGACCTTGATGTGCTTTGGGGCCGCCATCTGGACTCGAGGTATGGTCGGGTGGATCACGAACCCGAGCCAGGTATTGATTTCTTCCAGCTGAGGGGAGTTCCCAACGTCACTAATGTGCCCAAGAGAGCCGCGGTGAATTGCGGTCCGGTGGGGCGAAGTAACCAGCAGAAATCATCGACGAAGACAAAGCCCCAATCGATCTGGGGAAAGAGGTAGTAGAGGATCCGTAGGAGCAAGGCCGCCATTCTGCCCCACTAGAGCTGCGCACTCGCCACGCCGTAGGTACCCACTTTGTTGACCCACCATTCGTCCTCCAACTGTGCTACCTGGAAGCGCCAGTCTTGGGGCAGGACCTTGATTCGTCGGTGGGCCTTAGTCACATCGGCCTTCAGCAGGATCCATTGGCTGTCCTTGGAGGGCCAGTCCCAGGCTGGGGCTGGGTCGTCCGGGTCCCCTGCCCGTTCAAGCCCAAAGGCTCCTGGACTAGGCCGGGGACGTGCTCCGGCCTCAGTATGTCTGGCGGCATGAAGCCCATGGATGGCATGGACACAATCCAGGACTGTAGGTGCCGTGGTCCGCTCCTTAGTGTTTTGTTGGATCTTGGCATTTAGGCACCAGGTGCAGCGGGAGGGTTGCCAGCGCCGCCATCAGCAGGGTCGCTCAGCCCCAGGAGGTCCACGCCCATGTCCGCATCTTCTTGGTTGGCTATCTGGACCTTGAGTTCCTGCATGTGGCGCTCCAGCTGGCGAATCTGCTCTTGAGCATCCAGCTCGGAGACCAAGACAGGCTGCCCAAAAACGGCCAGTCCATGAGCCCCTTCCGCCTCCGCATGACGGAGGGCTGTAGACGCAGCATCCGCTGCCTGGTCCAAGCTCTCAATGCCCGGGCTACTGGCCGTACCGAATCCCCATCGTCTGGTTGGGCGTCTCTGAACGTCTCGATCATCACATACTCCGCTTCCATCGGGTGCGCCATTGCGTCGTGTTCAACAAAAACCGATGTACTGGGGAGTTTCTTCAAAAGTTCAGGTGCAATCCTGTGGATGATTGCCACCAACTTGAGCCAAAATGTCCCGGTGGGACATTTTGTGAACTTCAGTGAACATAAAACTTGCACCCGCAAGCTACATGCAAGTGTGAATATATATATATATATATATGCACACTAAGCAAAGTGCATATGTGAAGATTTTTTCCACTCTGGGAAAAACCAAGAATCTTGAGAGGGCGGAAGGAGCCAACGCAGCAACACCAGGCCTTGGAACTTCACGGCGCACTGCTTGCAGCCGAGCTCCTGGGGTTGCCAAGGTTGAAAGGAAACTTCCTGTTGCTAGGAACGTTTCTGTCGGAACAACTACTAAAAATGGTTACCAATGGTTACTTTGTCTTAGCGGCCTACCCCAAAAAAACATATACCCCAGCAAGAAGCCATACACACAGGTAACTATATTGTTGTGGTTGTGTTTGTGTGCTTGTGTGTGTGGTTGTGTAGTCGAGGTTGTGCGTTTGTGGTTGCGTGTTTGCGATTGTGTTTTTTGTGTGTTGTGTGTTTGTGGTTATGGTTCTTGGTTGTGTGTTGTGTGTTGAGGTCCGGTAGTGCCCACTGCGATCTCGCACTTGCTGTTGAGGTCCGTGACTGCCCACTGCCATCTGGCGCTTGCTGTTGAGGTCTGGGCCGCCGGAAGGAAGGAGCGGAGGAGGAGGAGGAGGAGGAGGAGGAGACTATCTGTAAAAATCTAACAACCCTCACGTGACAGGTGGAGACCAACGCTCTAAGAGGCCTTCCTCTGCCCAATCACTCGCTAAAACAATGTCCGAAATTGAGCCGCTAGCATTCTGTTTAGATTTTGGGGTTTGGTCGTGGACATTGGACATTCCCAAGCAGCCCGAATTTGATTGAATTTGTTTGAAACCCAGTCACATGCAATCACTCTTTGTAGTCATCTTGATTAGATTTGGGCAGCAACTCCAGATTCACCGGGTACCACTAGGAGCAAGGAAGGACGCTACTAGGGGCTCCTGGCCTTACTACTAGGAGCAAGGAGCAAGGACCTTACTAAAAGGAGCGAGGATGGTAGTAGGGGCTCCTGGCCATACTACTAGGAGCAAGGCTGCTACTAGGGGCTCCTGGCCACACACTACTAGGAGCAGAGACACTACTAGGGGCCCCTGGCCTTATTTCTAGGAGCAAGGACGCTACTGGGGGCGGGGGGGACGCTACTAGGGGCTCCTGGACACACTAGTAGGAGCAAGGGCGCTACCAGGGGCTCCTGGTTGTACTACTAGGAGCAAGGATGCTACTAGGGGCTCCTGGCCTTTTACTACTAGGAGCAAGGACAGTACTAGGGGCTCTGGGAGCAAGGACGCCTGGCCTTACTACTAGGAGTAAGGACGCTACTAGGGTCTCCTGGCCTTGCTACTAGGAGCAAGGACGCTACTAGGGGCTCCTGGCCTTATACTACTAGGAACAAGGACGCTACTAGGGGCTCCTGGCATTACTACTAGGAGCAGGGACGCTACTAGCGGCTCCTGGCCTTATACTACTAGGAGCAAGGAACTAGGGGCTCCTGGCCTTACTACTAGGAGCAAGGACGTTACTAGGGGCCCCTGGCCTTACTACTAGGAGCAAGGACGCTACTAGGGGCTCCTGGCCTTGCTACTAGGAGCAAGCACGCTACTGGGGGCTCCTGGCCATACTACTAGGAGCAAGGACGCTACTAGGGGCCCCTGGCCTTGCTACTAGGAGCAAAGGGCATCACTACTAGGAGCAAGGACGCTACTAGGAGCAAAGGGCATCACTACTAGGAGCAAGGACGCTACTAGGGGCTCCTGGCCTTACTACTAGGAGTAAGGACGCTACTAGGAGCAAAGGGTATCGCTACTAGGAGCAAGGACGCTACTAGGGGCTCCTGGCCTTACTACTAGGAGCAAGGAGGCTACTGGGGGCTCCTGGCCTTACTACTAGGAGCAAGCACGCTACTGGGGGCTC